AATAAGTAATGCTTCATATAGTTCATGAGAAATTAAAGCTCTGTTTCTCCTGAACAAAATTATATATAAGTGTTGCTGCACTTTACATTAAAGAGGTGAATTACGGTTGAACAGACATTTAGCGCAAATTCCAGTTTTTGTTTACATTTTGTTTTGATCAGAACGTGTACTATTGACTCTGTCCTGAAGGGGTTAGGTGCAAAGGTTATGTTTACATTCCAAAAAAAAAAAAAAAAAAAATCCCAGGTTAGAGGACAGAACCATTGAACAAATGTTCATAAGCTATAGTTTTTTTTTTACTATAGAATCATGCAGCCAGCAGTTTTGGTGTATAGATCAAGCCGATTCAGTCTTACTGCTCAGCTCTCTGTCATTTAGGAGTTAGATCACTGTTTTGCTGCCCTAGGCACACCTGCCTGCGTCTGACAATCACAGCCTTCATAAATTCTGGGTGTAAATAGTTCTATAATATTTACACATCCTGATTTGCCGGGGGAGGGCTGTCTGGGCTGTCAGGCAGTCCTCCCGAAGAGGATCGCTGTGAAGGTAAGTACCATGGAGCTCCTGGGGTAGACAGCCATTACGAAGTTCTATGCCGCCGCAACGGCTTTAAAGCCCATTATAATGGGGTTAAACACTGTGTTTAAATGGGCTTTTCTTACATTTTAAAAAGTTATGTGGATATGCTCTGTACTGTGCTTTTCTTACATTTTAAAGAGTTATGTGGATAGCCTTTGATGGCAGCTTGCCCTGTTGGTAAGTAGACAGGGCTACCATCAGAGAGGTAGAGCCAGTGTAGTAGTATGGAGCCTGGACCTTATATTCCCAAAGTGCATATATATGTACTCTCGATAGATGGATGGATAGATAGATTCGCCACGGACTCCTCATTGAGTAAACTTTGACCCTGTACCTCACAGTCAGCAGAGACATTCCAGCCAATCAGCAGCAGACCCTCCCTCCCAGACCCTCCCATCTCCTGGACAGCATCCATTTTACATTCATTGTGAAGCTGCATTCTTAGTGAGCTGTCTGTTCGGCGAACCATTCGGGACATCACTAATAGATAGATAGAGATATCTGTGGGTACAAATGGGGAAAAAAAGGGTCACAGCTCATATACTGTTACTGTCTAATCCCACATATATACACATACACTGTTTAAACTACATGAACTTTACACACACACACACACACACACACATGCTGCATCCACTATACACACACTCTGCATCCACTATACACACACATACTCTGCATCTACTACACATATACTGCAATCACTATACACACACTATATCTCTTACACACTTATACACTGCATCCTTGTAGGCAGACTCAGGGGTAGGCCACTGTGGGCTGACTTGGGGGGCAAGCCTTGTGGGCCCAGTCTTTGAGCTATGTAAGGAGTCCAAAACTGTCTGCTGGCAGCAGTTTAGGTAGCTATCATAATAGCTCATTGACAGTACTTAATGTTTGTATCTGACAGCATGTACAGGATCAATTTCTTAATTTCTGCTTCTCATTTGTGTTAAGATGTGTAACAAGGAGGTACCGTATTGGTGTTCAATACAATGTAGACATACAAGTTTAAGTGCAAGTTGTACTTCCCTCTGTGGATTGTAAATGTTGATCACTTTCTAGTTAACTTTGTTGCTGGTGATATCTAGAAGCTCTAGGTTCTTTAGCAACTAGTATTTTTGCTTCCTGAAAGGCTCATCAACTGCACAAGTCATTTGTTCAATTATACATCCATTTGCACTTGGAAGTTACAGAATTCAGATGACAAGATGATTGCCTACATTCACACAATTTGCAATTTTGCCAAAAACAAATGCAAAACTACTGTCAATTGCTGTTATAATCTTTGTTCTTTGCATCTAGCAGTAAACATACAAAAGGCGTACTTAGGAGAGAAAATGAAGCATAATACAGGATAGATTTCCAATGTTTCATTCAGTTATGTAATTTCTACTGTAAGTGATGTATCCCTCTTATTTGCTTCGTTATGGTAATTATCAACACCGCATTGGACTATTTTGGCTTGCTTTTGTTTTATAGCAATTCTTCATTAGCATTCATCAATAATTTTCTGTTGCTATATTTGTCACCTTATTTTCATTTGTATATCAATTATGGCTGTTGCCACTGAATGTTGATGACCTTGTTGCTTGATTCTGTGACTCAGATTTCCAAATGGAAATCATACAGAGAACAGGAAACAAAGATAAAGTACACTCAGTTCTAGAACAAGTTAATTCAACTCTACTTAGTATTCAATCTGTCAAGCACATTGATATATGGCAATTAAAGATGCTATTCAAAAGGAATGTCATTATACTTTATGATCAACAGAGTCATAATTAGTTTTAAATTTATCTGAGCGTTTAAGTACATAGTGGTTGAGTTTTAATTTAGGACACCACCATGTTCATAATTATGGAATCATTTCGTTAGTCTTCATCTGACAGATATTGTGAGCACCAAACAAGACAAACCCAATGAAATATATAAAATAGGTATATATTCCAATTCACACCTTTAAAAATATGACTGCATTGATCACATTAATCATTGTCAATGACACGGCTGATGTGCAGTGCTGTAGATCACTAATATAATTTATTTATATGCAGATTTTAAAATGTATAGTATGTAAAGGATATTTATCTTTTCTAAGCACTGTTTTTTAATTTTGAATATTTCCTAAGATGAACAATGGGACAAGTATATCTGAATTCATTCTCCTTGGACTATGCAATCCTCCAGAAGTGGATTTTATTTTGTTCTTGGTCTTTCTTGTTATGTACATAATAACTTTAATTGGAAATATAATTATAATCATCATCACAAATACAGACCCAACGCTAAACACACCTATGTACTTTTTTCTTGGTAATTTATCCCTCTTGGATGTCATCTGTACTACATCTACTGTCCCCAACATGTTGGCTAATTTTTTTGTGCCAATAAAATCTATATCTTTTCATGGATGTGTTATTCAAATGTTTGTGTTCACTGTTGGCATGGATACTGAATTTCTTCTTCTGACATTTATGTCTCTTGACCGCTACTTGGCCATCTGTAATCCCTTAAGGTATAAAAATATTATGAGCAAAAATTCTTGCATTTGTATGTCTGCTATAGTTTGGTCTTTTGGTTTATCCAGTTCTACATTTCATGCATCCAGTACTTCATGGTTGTCATTCTGTGGCCCCAATATAATTAACCACTTTTTCTGTGAGGTCCCACAAGTGCTTGCACTGTCATGTAGTGACACAAGTTTAAACCAGTTGGTACTAATATTTACAGATCTTATACTGGGATTAATATGCATTATTTGTATTTGTATTTCATATGTTTTAATAGTCATTGCCATATTATGTATACGCTCATCTGAAGGAAAAAAGAAGGCCTTTTCCACGTGTGCATCTCACATCACAGTTGTTGTTTTATTCTATGGAACATTAATCTTTGCCTATTTCAGACCCTCAACCCTCAGTGCATCAGACATAGACAAAGAAATTGCTGTTATCTATACCATTGTTATACCAATGCTAAACCCTATCCTGTACAGTTTGAGGAACAAGGAGGTGAAAGGATCTATTGAAAAAATCATTATGAGAAAAATGCTTATCTAATTTTTATATTTTTACAAATATAAATATGAATGGTATATTATAACTGCCAGTACTATGATCTGAAGCAAAAACAGTATCCTTTTGCTTAAATATAACTTTCATATATATTCCAATGTGCAAACCATCTTTACAAAAATCTTGTACTACATTAAATGTGAGCTCATCAATGTAATATTCCCTGTAATGCAAGGTTTGATGATGTTAAATACATGTCACTTTATTCCCGAGACTAGAGGGTGTTAGATAACCTGGTGGCTGTTGCACACACACACACTTTCACCCTTCTACATACACCCTGTCTTCCCCACACACTGTCACCCTCCAACACACACACTGTCACTACCCCACTCACTGTAACACTTCCACACACACACTGTCAACCCCCTGACACACCCCCTAGCCAGACTTACATTAACTCCTCAACTCTCTGCCTGTCCAACCATACCACACTAACCTTCTCTCACACTGTCACAATCACCCCCAACCTTGTCACACTCCTACTCTATCAAGCTGTCACACTTATCTTTTTCACCTTGCCACTCACCCTGTCTCAGTAACTGCTTCAGTCCTGTCAATCATCCACCCAACCATGCCACACTCACCCTGTCACATATACCTTCCCCTAATCCTGTCACACTCAGCTCCCCTCTCCCTGTCACACTCACCCTCTTACAATAATGCCTCTTACATTAATCCTGTCACACTTTCCTTTTTACATTAACCCCTCCCCAATGCTAGACGTAAATTTTTTGTCATGCTTGTCCTTGCGTTAAGGACACATAACGTAATAGTTCCGCCATTTATTAAGTTAACCCCAGATCACCGCGATCGTATTTGAGGCAGACTGGGAGCACCAATCGCGCTATCCCTGCAGCTGTGATCGCCCTGACAGGCGGTCAGAGCGAGCACATGTGCTGCAGGGAGATCTGATCCACCTACCTGCTCTTCCGCAATAAGTGTGAAGTGCAGGGAGAGGGATTAGCAGCGATCTTCTCCCTGTAAAAAAAATAAATAAAATAAAGTTAAAATTAAATCCCACCCCCCTTTTACCCATCTTTATTAAAATGAACCTCTTCCCAATTTATCAAAATACAGGTCTGGGTATTTTTCTGTGATTTTTTTTTTTTTTTTTTAATAACTCCTGAGGGTTAACTTTTATTTATTTTTTTCCCTTAAGGTTTAAATTTATTTTATTAATTAATTTAAATATTTTAAAATGATATATTTAGCTAGCTGGGGAAGTTAGTGGGGAATTGGGGAATTTGGTGTTAGGCTAGCTACGGGTTAACGTTAAAGTTTTACAAAAATTTCAATAAAATATAAGAAAATGATTTAATAACATTTAAAAAAGTTAAAAACATACCACCCACTTTATCCAGTCATTATACAAATTAACCCCATCCTGTCAATTGATCACTGCCTACAGGGGTCAAAATACAGATCACAGTATTATACTGTGATCTCATATTTGTTTTTAAACCTTTGAGGGTAAACTTTTAATTATTATTTTTTTAACCCTCAGGGGTTCAATTTATTTAATAATTTAAATATTTTAAAATGATATATTTTGCTAGCTGGGGTGGGTGGGTGGGAGTTATGGGAAATTGGGGAATTTACTGTTAGTGCTGCTTACTGCTAGTTAGGGGTTAACGGTTTATATGAATTTTTTTATATGAATTATAAAAGAGTAAAAAAATTGAATACGTGTAAAAAAAAAAAAAGTATAAAAACAAGATTTAAAAAGTAAAAAAAGTTTAAAAGAGTTAAAAAAATATATTCAAGAATGCTCATTACCACTACACCTGGAACAAACTAGCAAAAAATGATCCCATACTAAGGTTCAAAATATGCCTTTTGAATTAGCCCGGGGTGTATTCTTTAATAAATAGTATGTGTTTGTGAGGAGGTTTGAATAAAATGGAACATGGACACAGTGTAAAACTTCAAAGTTACAAAAAAAAAACTGAATTACTGCGTCTCAAATGTGCCCCTTCAAAATTCACATGTACCTGGAAAAGGTACATATGGGGGTATTGTTGTACTCAGACGACATAGCTGAGCAGTATATTAATTATTATACAGCCGGATCACACATACGATTTGCAAAATATACTGTGTAAACTCACTTTGTGTGTCAAAAAGGCAGAACAATGCTTATTACCACCTTACTTGGTTAAAGTTAGCAGAAAAATGATCCCATGCTAAGGTTCAAAATATGCCTTTTGAAATACCCTGGGATGTCTTCTTTAAGAAATGGTATACCTTTATGGTATAGTTGGAATATGTAGACTGCTCAAGTACTTCAGAGTGGGAAATTCTTCATGAAAATTCACACTTAAAAACCTGAACTTGTCATGTCTCTTTTACAGCACTGTAACTTCACAAAATAGTTTCCAGGTCATACATTGGGCATATTGTTTTACTCAGCAAATGTAACTGAGCATATTTTGGGGGATTTTATGACAGTGGTACATATCAAGTGTAAGAAATACTCAGCAAAAATGCAACATGTGTAAAAATGCCATTTTCTTTCCCCTCACCACAAATATTAACATAAATTGGTGAAAAAATGGTGACATGTTAGTGCACAATATATGCAATATACTCTGGGGTGTCTGTTTTATCAAATGGAAGCACTTTGTGAGGTTATTTGAATAGTGAAACTGCCATAATACCCCAAAATGAGACACATGCCCATCATATCTATCTAAGAAAATTCCAACTATAGAAAACTGAAATAGCCTTGTCTCTTATGTGGCATTGTAGCCTCACAGAATAGTGAATATACTCAGCAGATATAGCTGAACACAATATGGGGTTCTGGGCAGGAATAGCACACACCAGCTTTATGAAATACACATTACAAAAACTTTGTTATATGTGTATATGCCAAAATAGAGACAAAATACAATTTTACTCCAAGTTTTAGCAGAGATTGGCGATGACATGGCTACGTAAAAAGTGTCAAACCAACCTTAGGTAAATAGCCTGTGATGTCTACGTTATATAAATATACACTTTTGTGTGGCAAATTTGTTTTATGTTATAGCTACTAAACCTACAAGACAAACATACCAACTTCTAAAATTGTCTCACATTAAAATTTTATTTTAGTTCTTGTATTTTGTGACCCGTAACTTTCAAAATAAGCTGAAATCCTATACATATTATGTACTCTATAAATCAAGACACGTAAGTGAATTTACTTTGAATTACTTTTTCTAAGCTGGACATATTATGCACACTCTATTTTTGTCAAAACTGTGAAAAAAATGTTGTTTGTTTTCCCCATTTTTTGGCATCTATAATTAATGAGAATTTATCTATGTATATGTGACATTGAATGAAAGCCCTTTTCCCCTCTAAAAAATGGTATATAATATGTGTTGGCGCAATAAATGACAGAGATGCAAATTGCGTTTGAACACCAACAGCAAAAAATGCAAAAATGTCTTCTGTCCTTAAAGGTAAGACAAGCTTTTGAAGCTGTGTCCTTAAGGGGTTAATCCAGTCACACTAAATGACCAAACCATCAAACTCACCCTCCCTCATTCTGTCATGCTCACCCCCCCAACCGTGTCTCAATCACACCTATCTCACTTATCCTCACAGTTACCTCTTTACTCAGCCTGTCACAGTCACCCTTTGAAGATATTCATCATACACAAAACAGTCATGAAACATAGCTTCTATATAAACACAATTCGCAAAGGTCACAGGCAGACTACCCCCCACCCTCCCCATTTACAAAATCCACATATAGGCCAACCAAATAGATAACAGTCTAACACACTAACAGGCAAGTATCATTTTTCCAAAAGTTTGATGTGAAAATATTCTCCACTATTACAGTTCAATCTGTGTTGAGCCTTCATGGCCGAAGAAGGATTATTTTATAGCATTGCATTTTGAAAGATAGGGGCTGTCTTTTTTTTTTTTTGCTTGATTTTGCAAACCTCTTTTCTTATGGGTTTTAATTTGAACTCTTTTGGGATTGAAGAAAAGAGTTGGAAGAAAGAAGACTTCTGATTGTAAGTATATATTTTTATTTTTACAGGTATTAGTTTTGTTGCCCCACCCTCACTACTATTAGGGTAAGCAGAATAAGTAGGGTTATTACATTTTATTTTAAGAGGCTAGGGAATTGGGGACCCATAACCATACTGGGGGTAGCAAGGCTGGCAATGCCACTACTTGAGAGATTAATGGACTATGGCATGCCCACGCTACATTGCATAACTCAGTCTACCGTCCATAGTTCCATAACTGAAAAAAGACATGTGTCCATCAAGTCCAGCATTTCTCAGATCTGTTTTTGCTGCTGATGCAAAAAAAGGCAAAACAAACAAAAAACTGTTAGAAGCAGTTCTACTTTTGTAACAAGCTAGAAAAAAATCCTTCTTGACCTTAGAATGGCAGTCAGATCTCTCCTTGGAAAACCATACTAGTTAAAAGTTATATCCCTGAATATTATGTTCTTACAAGTATTTATCCAGTTGCTCTGTAAAAATTTATAAAGACTCTGATAAAACTGCCTCTTCAAGCAGAGCATTCTAAATCATTGTTTTTCCCGTAAAAAAAAAAAACCTTACATGAAATCTCTGTGCTGAATATTATTAGGGCCCCCTCATATAATCTGTGGCGAAAATGACCTCGCCACTTGATATTGGAGGGGCTCATTTGCCAGCCTCCTGCCCAAAGACAGTGGGCCCTGCAAAAAGACATGTTAAAAAGTGACTTCCATGGGAAAATGTGCCTTTTTCCTGTCCTTTTATTTCCCCAGCAGGGTGTTGTCTCAGGGACACTGCCAGACCAGTTTAAACTGGCTGCTTTGTCCCTCCTCAATCTCTCATCAGCCCTTGCTATTTGACCCCACCCTTCCTTGTACTATAGTGCTCTATGTAACCTATTGTATGTAAATAAGGCTGTTGGGGGTTTAAATGTGTGTATAAATTGAGGTACCCAACCAGGGTACAGGAAGCTCCGTTACACCATCAACGGGTTAGAATTGGGGGTACACTAAGTTTCCTCATATTATATTAGGGGAGAAATTAGGATTACCCTCAGGTGGGGGTAGAGTGCAGTAATCTGCATGGCGGGGGGTGGGGGCATGTGGAGGTTTTACACCCCCATGCAATTATCTAGGAGTAGTTGTGACACCCATAGGCACCCTTCTTACATTTTTAACTGGCTGGCAAGCCCTAGTCAGCTTCCACAAAAAATTACCCTTTCTGTGCTTGAGGTTATTTCACTATTAGCAAACAGGCTGATAATGTTGCTGTGGGCAAAAAAAAGCAAATGAAAGATGATTTGTAAAAGTCGATTCTACTAGATGAACATTTGGATTTTTTTTTTTTTTTTTTTAATCCTTGGTTTGTGAATATTTTAAATCATATACTTTGTATTGGATTCAGATGCAAAAGCAATGATGTAAATCTGAACACCAAATGCATCTGTGAACTTGCTACAGATTGACTTGGCCCAACCTAATTGTAGCCGTATTTGCCTTTAATACATATTAGGATTGCCAAAGTGGTTGGAATTAGTTACTTTTCACCAGATTTTGTTTTTTAAAGAACCCTATAGATGTTCAGAGTTGTGGCTCAGGGACTCAACAAAATTCTGAAAGGAGAAGAGGAGAACCTTAGCTTCAAGGACACTGGTAAACAAACACCTTTCCCACACCAAGCCTCATATTAACTCATGAAAAACCTTGGCAAGACACAGCCATCACTAGAAGAACCAAACACATTATATAAAATGGGAGCAAGTAACACAAATGGTTTTTATTACTCTATTTAATTTCCTACATCACTCCACAGCAACAGAGATGAATAAAAGGGGGTAGGGGAAACTATAAAACCACTGTACTGATCTGTTAAGAGCTATTTACAAAAAATTGTTTCAATCATATGTCTCATAGGCAGGGCCGGCGCTACCGTAAGTTGCCCCAGGTGGCTGCCTTAGGGTGCACTGGCCCTGGGAGCGCAATGTCAGGCTGACCAGCAGGAGGGAAGCGCATTGTGCTCCTCTCCAGCCAATTACTAATTTAAGCATGGCCGAGCACAAGCACCTCCTACCCTGAGTACAGCCTCTTACCACCCCATGCAGTACAGCCTCCTATCCTGGTGTATGCCACAGGCTGTGTGGCGGGGCAGGGATATGAATTACAACATATCCCTTTTCCCTGTGTACCACACAATACGGTTGGCACCCAGTGATGGGGCTTGGCTGTAGGACAAGACTCCACAGAGCTGGACAACATGCTCCTCAGGGACCTGTGTGTACAGTAGAGATATAATTGTAAGTTTGCAATTGTGACTGTCTGTGTGCGTATGTATGTATGCATGTTTGTCTCCATATGTAAGTCTATGTATATATGTCTCTGTATGCCTGTATATGAATGTATGTATGTCTCAGTATATATGTATGTATGTCTCAGTATATATATATATATATATATATATATATGTATGTATGTATGTATGTTTGTCTCTGTATGTATGTATGTTTGTATGTCCCACTACTCTTGGGCAGCAGCAACGACCACAGTACACATCAGCCCCAAAATATACAGTAAAAACCCAAGAAAAAGTTACCTGCGCTCTTCCCAAATCCCTATGCATATTTAAACAAATGGAGGTTATTTAGTTGCTCCAATGGCCATGAGAGTTGTATGTATGTATGTATGTCTCTGTATGCCTGATTGTATATGTATGTATGTCTTTGTATGCCTGTGAATCTCTGTATGTATGCCTATGTGTGTCTGTATGTCTCTGCCTGTATGTCTCTGTATGACTTTGTCTGTGTCTCTGTATAAATGTATGACCACGTATTTGTGTCTCTATGTGACTTTATGTCTGTGTCCATATGTCTCTGTATGTCTCTGTCTGTATGTCTCTGTCTACTGTGTTGGCGTTTGTATGACAGTGTACCTGTATTACTGTGTTTGATTGTGTGCCTTTTATGACTGTGTCTGTATGTCTTTGTGCATGTATGCATTTTTGCCTGTAAATTTATGTCTATATAATTTGGGAGGAAAGACACACAAAGGGACCTTTAGGGGAGAGCCACACTGACTGAGGGAAGAAAGAGCTACACAGAAGGAAAATTGGTAATTGGTGCAGAAGGAGACAAAGAAATAGGCTGGGGAGAAAGACATACAGTAAGGGGCTGGGGTAAGAAAGAGACACAAAGGGGCTGGGGTTAAGAAAGAGACACACAAAGGGGTTAGGGAAGGAAGAGACACACAAAGGGTGTTGTAAGACATACTAAAGGGCAAAAGAGGGGATATAAAACAGGGGGTTGGGGAGGGGACGGCAAAATGCATCTTCGCCTATGTAGCTAAAACTCCATGCACAGGCCCTGCTCATAGGTATAAGTTTGCTATTTTTTAAAGAGTTAAATGCTCTGTAAATTAAGATAAGTTATATAGTTTTGCTTTTATTTATTGTGCACAAACCTACTCGTTAAAAACTTCAAATAAGTCATGGTGTACGAAATCAACTAAGGAGTAAACAAACAGCAAATGAAAAATGAAAAAGGATTCTCTATACTTATGCAATATATCCTGAACATATTTGACTTTATTAACAGTAACTGGTTGGAAACTGCTATAACTGCCCCAATAAATAAGTCTCTACCGAATGAAGAGCTTTTCAGGCTGGTACTAAGCTTTAAAACCATATCCTAATGCATAAAGGAGGCCAGCATAAAGATTGGCAATGGGCGAGGTGTGAGAAGAGAGGCTTGTATAGAGGATAAATCATTCAGCAGCTTTCAATATGGATTGAAAAAAATAATCTGTAGATGTGTTAAAATGTTGAAGACTGGGTTGCAATGTACAACTGCTGTTTAATTTGATAGTTACATAATGTAATTAAATAATTAATTCTTGTAAAGCAAATATATTTATTGTTTCATAAGATTAGATAGTAGAGATAATATTTCAAAAATAATGCAATAAAATAATTAAAACATTATTCTGAATGTGTATACACCCAATATATACTTTGATTAAAAATAAATGCTATGATACAGCGCCAAATGTGAAATTGATATGTAGTCAACGTGCCAAGCCAGTATTTCATATTATTTATTTCACTGTGAATATCTTTTCTTATGAAACTAACAGGTGTGGTACACTTCATAGAACTATGTGTTCATGGGAAATAAACAAAATTTTGTTTCCAGGAAAATAAATGAACTGTAAATAATACACTATGTATCAAATTAACTCATATATCTGATATCAGGAAACCATTAATCAGAAAATGGCATTGTCTTGATGAACTGTATATTATTATACATAGGGCTCAAAATTGTAAGTCCTACACTACTAAATAAGCCTAAAAGTTACTTGACACTGCAAGCCGAAAGGATTCACAGCACACTCACTAGGGGTGAATTTCTATTTGCCAAGTTGAGCCATATTTTTTTTTTTTTTAAAACATATATTTTTTTAAGTTTAGCTTTTTTTAACCTTTAGAAAATATACACCTTCATACTCACACCTAAGTGCAGGCACAAACTGACACTTATACACAGAAGTTAAAGGGACACTATAGTCACCAGAACAACTACAGCTTAATGTATTTGTTCTCATGAATTTAATCATTCCCTTCAGGCATTTTCATTGCGAACACTGCCTTTTCAAAGAAAAGGCAGTTTTTTAATTGCCCCCTAGGGATCCCTCCTGTGTCCACTATAGGTACTTCCTGAATGGGGATGCTAAATTTTCCTCATTCAATGCATCTCTATGAGGAGGAGGTGCTGATTGGTCAAAACAGTGTTTGACTCTGCCCCTATGGGAAAGCATTGGATTGACTAAAAATGGTAAATTCTGATAATGTCACAAAGGAGGACCAGGCCAGCACCAGTGGACCCGAGTGGCACTGGAAATAAGGTATGTTTCTAGCCCTTCTAAAAGGGCTAAGAGGGGCAAGCCACTAAATGGTGGTTTTAATACTTTAGGGTTAGGAATAAATGTTTGTGTTCCTGACTCTATAGGGTTCCTTTAGCACACTCACGTACTCTTGTGTACATACACACAGAAACAGACACATCCCAAGATACACACACTCATGTACTCCTATGTAAGCATAAGACTGGCACAGGGCAAACAATTTTGGTTCTTCTGAACCACTTCAGCAGAATATTTTTTGGGAGTAATGTTGGAAAATTTAAGTTCAAGCCACAGAAATGATAAAATTGCATGGCCATGTGAGAAAATAATGATTTATTGTAGTCTTATTCTTTTTACTATCTTGTATTTATGAAAAATTGTGAGCAGGGGTCATTAAGTGATGTATACAAAAATGAAAGGAAAAAAAAAAAATCAGTGGCCAATTGACTATCCAACATTGACAAGAACAAATCATTTCCACACATCCAATCTGTAGAATCCGTGCCCTATAAAAAACAAACACACAAAAATGTCCTAGAAGCAGCAAGATTAATTGTATCTAAAAATGGATTGAAAAAAATAATGGATGGGATGGGTGGATAGTTCATCAATTGCCAACTCACTTTGTCCTTTAATCTTTTTCAGAAATCCACTGTTTTAAAATTAAATTACTACTGCCCTCTTGTTTTAAATATATTTCATTGTAGTGGTTTTGCTTTGCTAGGTTGAATCTTGAGGTGCCTGCTAACTCTGGAGATATAGTTGGTAGAAGGTGATGAAAAGCCACTGTTCTTGTTCCATACTGAAAGACAGTCAATAATGCTACAGACTAGATTCGTGGGAACAGTGTGTTACTCTCAGAGCAAAAGGGATGAGTGGGTTGTCAGAAATATCTGGCCTGCTGTTTTTCCTCTCCAAACTCTCCTCTTCTAATTCATCTGGCTCATCATACTCATAGATGTGTATCAGATTGTCACACCCACCTGGGGAATTTGCAGAGATGATGGAACAGGGTTGCAGCGGAACAGCACTCCCTTACTATCATGACCCTCAGGAGCACCTGGAAGTGAAGACAGGGTTCCAAAGGGTCTGTGGTGGCGTGGAGGCCTTTAATGGGAAGAAGCCAAATGAAGAATCCAAGGAAACAGGAGCAGGGTACGTAGAAAGAAAACCACAGTCAGGAAGCAGACAGAAGTAGACAATCAATCTGAGAAAGAAAACCGAGTAAACTTTGACCCTGTACCTCACAGTCAGCAGACACATTCCAGCCAATCAGCAGCAGACCCTCCCTCCCAGACCCTCCCACCTCCTGGACAGCATCCATTTTGAAGCTGTATTCTTAGTGAGCTGTCCAGGAGGTGGGAGGGTCTGCTGCTGATTGTCTGGAATGTGTCTGCTGACTGTGAGGTACAGGGTCAAAGTTTACTCAATGATGAGTCCATGGCGAACCGTTCGGCGAACCGTTCAGGACATCACTAGAGCAGAGTCTTCAGCATGCAAGTGGATTATCAGGGCCTGGGGCAGGGCAACCACACGCCTTCTGGTGTTAAGCACCAGCGTTTGTGCGGCCACATACCAGAACCTTGATTCAGCTTATGCGGATCCCAGGAACTAGGAGCAGGAATTAAGCAGACCTCCCAGGAGCTGAATAGGGAGGCTCTGCAGCAAGAATGTATCCAGTACAGAAACAAGGCAAGTCTAGGATAGTCACCAAACATGAAAACAAGACAGAACTAATAGAACCCAGAACCAGAGCAGGACAGAATGCAGAACCCAGAACATGTACACAAGACATGAGGAAAACAAGAACAGGGCAGGACAGGACTGTACATGAACTGGGATTACAAAATAAAACAAGACAAGATATAATAGGCAAAACAAGAGGAGACATAACTATGCACTATATATGAAAAGTATGGGGATTTAGTTGCATTATATGATCATACATTGCATAAGCCTGCCACAACGCCAATGTACCCTATATTCGGCAGGTCCTACACTGCCTAATGTTCGCTAAAGAACCATACTAAACCACAATAGCACTTACCTGCAAGAAAGGGCAGAGACTTGAAACACTGCTGCAGGTCCAGACTGAAACAAAAGGAAAATGGAAAACAAACGGGTGTGGCATCATAAAACAAACATTTAAATGAATCCAAGAGACTGGGAATTCCAGGGACGGATTACAGGAATGAACCCAGAAAAACCCAGCATAAAGAGAACCAGACATAGAATAGAAAACCAAAAAACCAAGAAAAACTAAACAAGAATTGTAAAAAGAGTACTGGATACCATAAGCCATCATCAGACTGATCCGCAGAACAAGGCATGATGTGACAGCAATAAAGCCTCAGTGCATTCTGTTCCTGTTTGACCCTCAACATGTAGTCTTGTCTCGTGATTGGAGGGGAACTGCTATAATCACACTGGGGACTTAGCTCTTTTAAGAGCTGTTCCTGATACGCTCTCGTGGAGGAGAGGTCTTTTCCCACACGGTCCTGGAGGACAGAGGATGATCCAGGATGGAAGGAAGACGGTGAGAGTCCAGTTAAAGGAACACTATCGTCACCTAAATTACTTTAGCTAAATAAAGCAGTTTTAGTGTATAGATCATTCCCCTGCAATTTCACTGCCCAATTCATTGTCATTTAGGAGTTAAATCACTTTGTTTCTGTTTATGCAGCCCTAGCCACACCTCCCCTGGCTATGATTGACAGAGCCTGCATGGAAAAAAAAAACTGATTTCACTTTCAAACAGATATAATTTACTTTAAATAATTGTATCTCTATCTCTAAATTGAACTTTAATCACATACAGGAGGCTCTTGCAGGGTCTAGCAAGCTATTAACATTGCAGGGGATAAGACAATCTTAATTAAACAGAACTTGCAATAAAGAAAGCCTAAATAGGGCTCTCTTTACAGGAAGTGTTTATGGAAGGCTGTGCAAGTCACATGCAGGGAGGTGTGACTAGGGTTTTAAACAAAGGGATTTAACTCCTAAATGGCAGAGGATTGTGCCGTGAGGCTACAGGGGCATGTTCTATACACCAAAACTGCTTCATTAAGCTAAAGTTGTTCAGGTGACTATAGTGTCCCTTTAAGCTATGGTGGTTGTGGAGTCTGCGGTTGTTGTGGTGTCTGGTGCGGTGCTTGTGGTTCTCGGAGCAAGCTAGGAAGCGTCCATCAATGGAAGCTACTCGGTTGGAGTACAGGTGATCCGTTACAGATACTATTTTCAGTGCCATGTCGGGGCAGAGTGTACGTGCGCAAATGTTGAATTATGAGTCTCCCTGATTGGGGCAGAGAGGTGTATTGGCGGTATGCCGGTATGCTGTCGTGTGTCTCTATGGTGCCCCTGGATTCTCAGTGCCTTGGGTTAGAACCATAACAAAAGTAATGTTGCCTCAGAATTGAGGCGTAAAAACCCTAACAATAAACAGAAACAAAAACAGTCTGGTCTTGGGTGTAGTGGTGTGGGGGCCAAATGTGTGCAATGGTTCAAATCCTTTGCTAGGTATAAAGGTCTTTCTATTCGTGGGGTGTTTTTTTTTTTTTTTATTATTATTGTTGGATGGGTTCCCTCCCCCTGATCTGGGTAACTGACTATCGGGTGCCCTTCATAATCGCACCAATAGAGGGGTGTATATAGGGTGCCGAGTAACCCGTGCATCCCCCAAAACTCCCAAACCACATAGGGGGCATTCCTGTGTGGTGTAACATTGCGGGTGAACCAACCCTATGTAACATGTTGACTACCCTGGTTCCCCCTGTCTCCCCTCCCCCACCCAAGTAAGTCCCTTCCCTAGGTACTTGGCCCAACTCAAGCATACAGTCCCATTTGGGACGAGAGTGCTGCTTCCTCCAAGGTAGGAAAGTTGTTTTCTCTCCATTACCACTTCAGGTGTTGTGCGTAGCTGCGCTGGAGACCTACTGCCAGTCGCTAGGTAGTGTGATCAGTGGTAGGCGCTGGTTGCAGGGCATGCGGAACTCCGGTGGCGGGTCAATGTTGAGACTCTGGAGGAAGGCAGTGGGATCTGTTCCAGGTAGTAGAGTGTGTGTGTTCGTCTTTTTCGAAAGGTGATGATCTTGAAGGGTAGCGGGTCCCATGTCTCCGGAATAATTCTGACAGAGGCCTCTACTCCTCCCTATATTGCATGGTTGCTGGAGAGAGATCCTGGTAGATGTGGAGTACGGCATCTTGGTATTGCAAGGTGTTGTCCTGGCTGTAGTGTACTATGGCTTCCTTGGTGGAATAGTGTTGGGAGCGGATTATGATGTCAACTCTTCGGGCTCGTAGCGCTCTGTGGGCCCGGTCGATGACCCACTTCTCCTCGGGTATGTCGGTGATTAGGTGTTTGAAGTAATCCACCATTTTCTCTGCAAGTGGGCCCTCGTAAGGCGTTTCAGGGAGGCCACATATGCATAGGGTATTTCTCCTTGATTTGTTGGAGAGGTCTTCCACTTGCATCTCCAGGTTATCTATTTGTTGTGCCAGTGTTTCAGAGTGGGTAACTAGGGAGTTTTGGGCCTTTGCTGTCATATCTCCCGCTGCTTGAGGTCTGAGGTGCGGGCCCCTAAGGCTTGGATTTCGTCCCTGACTTCCTTAGAGCTACGAGTGATCTCCCCTGCGAGAGGATTTGTGTGGTGTCACCTGAGTGACCAGCGGGTGCCTCGCCATCCCTTGTGGATGCTAGGGATAGTGAACAATGCGGACTGGCGAGGCCTTCATCTTGCGAGGCCGAAACTGCATGGGAGGCTGTAAAGAGATCCCTCACAGAGGCGCTGGAACAGCTCTTGTCACCTTTCTTTTTGCATGTCTGCTTCGCTCCCGAGCCTGTGGCTGACATTCTGGGGTGGCACAAATTCAAGACCGGATCTTGGTGCTTCAGGTAAGTGCTATATTGAGTGCGAATTGGCAGGAGCACTAAGATCAAGCGGCCATGAAGGTAGAT